CCTTTGAGTATGATGAGTGTTTGGGCTGCCACAGGTCTGGGATGGGAAACATTTCTTCCTCAGGGAAAGCTGCCTCCTGCCCAGCCCCACGGTCACTTCCTTTTTATGGCCCCGCCTGCTTGCTTACGGGCTACAAACCACTAGGATACACGTTTCTTCTGTCCCTAAATGCTTCCCCCAGAAGCATTTATCGACCGCATTAGGATTGTTCTCTGTTCATGGAGCACCTTGGAGCACCAGATTAGAATTCTAGATCGGTAGTGGTTTGTGTGTGTGTGTGTGTGTGTGTGTTTTATTTATTTTCTGTTTTGTTCTGTTTACAGGAGTCTCCCATTTTAGCGACTTTTCATTTAACGCACAGTTTATCTTTCCACTGGAGCAGCCTCACGTGACGTGAGGCCGTTACTGGGTGGGGGGAGACTTGTTTACTCGGAGGATTTGGACAGCGCTCGGGCTTCCCGGTCTTTGATGCCTCCTGGGCCCTTTGCCTTCTGTTTCAGCTTTTCAGTGCTTTTCAGATGACATTCAGCTTCTTTCTGTGTGCCGCCTCTCCCATTCCCTCCTGCTTGCCTTTCTTGCCTCCCTGAGCCTTACCGTTCCCTACCCTCGGGCAGACGTAGCCTGTGCATCTCTTGGCAATGGCCGCCGTGGGCCGGTTCCCGGGGCTCAGAGCCAGCTGGGCCCACTGCTCCTCTTCCATTTGCCCGGCTCTGCTTTGCGCGGTTTCTTTGACTCCCAGGGAGGGTTTCCCGGGAGAGCGCCCGTCCCCTGGGAAGCATCATCCTCTCCCCCGCCAGCACTCCAGTGCGGGGAAGGACCTGGAACCCGTAGGAAGAACAGAGCTTCTTAAAAAGAACTCTTTCACCGTCTAGACAGTGAGCGGTGGGCTGGGTACCTGTTCCGTCTGCATCTGCTGGGTCTCCTGCTCTGTCAGGACCGGGGGCTCGCAGCTCACGTGACCCTCTGCTCCCCCACCTCACCGGCTCCTCTGTCCCCGGTGGTCATCCGTCCCACGGGTGTTCATCTAGTTCCCCTGATGCACCAGCCTCTATTCTGGGAGGCCATGAACAAGAAAACAGGGCCCTGATGGCAAGGAGCATGCTTTCAAAGTTGGGGTGGGGGGTGCAAGCACGTGACAGATAAACGGGATCATCGGAGAGCATGTAAATGCAGTGAAGACGGGGAGTGGGTGGGAGGTCTTGCAGGGGGAAGCAGCCGGCCGCTTGGGAGCCAGGGTGGCACTGGTTTAAAGCACCAGGCCTGGAGCCAGACGGGCAGCCTTCGAGCCCAGCTGCAGCCTTACCTGCTCGGTGCCTCAGTTTATCTGTCACCGCCTGCCTCTCGGGTGGTTGTAAGGACACATGATTTATACAGGTAAAACCCTTCACTTGTACCTGGAATGTAATAAGTGCTAGTTTTTATAAAATGTTTGTTTTGAGAGGGAGGGGCAGAGAGAGAGAGAGAAAAAAGGGAGAGGGAAAGAGAGAAAATCCCAAGCAGGCTCTGCACTGATAGTGAGATCATGCCCTCCCGTGAGATCACGACCGGAGCCGGAACCAGGAGCCGGCCGCTTAACCGACTGAGCCACCCAGGCGCCCCAGTAAGTGCTGTTGATTTTAACTGTTACTACTGCAGTTTTGAGGCAAAAAAAAAGGTGGCCATTTCTAGCGCTTTGCACCTGAGCTGATAGCCCCTGGTTCTTTTTTTTAAACCGTTTTATTACTGTATAATTAATTGATGGTATAATTGTGAAAAGTTCCGCATCGATTCAGCAACACCTATCCGTTTAGCCCCTGGTGCCAGCCAGCCGGGGAAACCGCCTTCCAGAGGTTCATGGGTGACATTTCTGGGGTCACTCGGCTCCACCTGCCTCCCTGTCCCCAGCTTGTACCTCGTGGCCAGTGTCCCGCGGTGCAGGATTACCCTCCACCCACCGCTTTCTGAGCCCAAGCCCCCAGTCCTGCCGCTCCTGAGGGGTCAGCTGAGTCTTGTGCTGAGCTGCCTTCCCCACTGCAGACAGACACGATCAAGCCTTTCTCCGTAACAAATCCAAATCCAGCCTTCCTCGCCCCTGCCCCGCCCCCGCTCCCCTCCCCACCCCCAGCCTTATCTCTTTCCTTGCCTTCATAGCTCAGCTCTTTGCCAGAGGCATCTGCACTCTCGCCTCTTCTTCCACCCCCCCCCCCCCCCCCCCACCCCCGCTCTTATCCCTTCAGCCTCCACTTGGTTGCGTTGCCTGCTGGCCCTTCCCGAGACCCCTGGTCACAGTCACTGAAGGGCCCCCAGTAGCAAACTGAAACAGCCTCTCTGCAGGGTTCATCACGAGGAACAGAGCGCTCGCCTCCGCTGGCTTCTGGGACGCCGCCCCGTCTACACACGCGCCCAACCTTTCCTTATCTGCCGCTTGCTTTCCAATGTCCCTTGCATTTCTCCTGGTCCCCTTTTCTGACGTCAGTGGCTTCAACTGATTTTATTTCCAGGCCAGGCCGTTCTCCTCTCCACGTACAGCCCCAGCAGCTGAGGGGTATCTCCATGTGGCTGTCATGGACCTTGTGATTCCAGTAGGTTTAAAACGGGAAGGCATAGTGGTGTGCATCCCGTGTAATAGCGGCCAGGTGCGTCCTCTTACCCGCAGCCCCGCTCCTCTGGAATCTTCCCTGAAGGATGCCAGTCCCTACTGGCTCACCTAAATCAGAAATCTCTGGTTTAGGCAGGGCGCCTGGGTGGCTCAGTCAGTTAAACTTCCGACTTCAGGTCATGATCTCGCAGTTCATGAGTTCGAGCCCCACGTCGGGCTCTGTGCTGACAGCTCAGAGCCTGGAGCTGCTTCAGATTCTGTCTCCTCTCTCTCTGCCCCTCCCCCGCCACACTGTCTCTCTCTTTCAAAGATAAGTAAACATTAAAAAATGTGTTTTTAATTTCAGAGCTCCTCCTTGCACCTTCCTCTCTCCTTCCCTCTCTCATCCCACCTCTCTCTCCGCCACCAGTTTGTCCCCATGTCCCCTGATATCTGCCCTCTGAAACTCTCACATCTGTTCCCCTCCTGTCTGCTCCTGCTGGCCTAAGCCCCCCTGTTTCCCACCTAGGGTATTGCTTTCCATATGCTCCCTCCTACATCGGTCCTTCACGTCATCTCTAGGGTGACATGTGAAAGAACAAAAAGTCCTTCGAGATAAAAGCCTGTCTCTTCCTGGTTGGGCCCCTCCCTACAGAGCCATTTGCAGCCAACATCCTCTGTATCTCTGCCCCTGCCTGGAATGCCTTCCCGCCCGCCCCCCCCCATGCCCACTTCCCCACCTGCCTTAGCTGGCCCTCCCCCATGTGGCATTGTGTCCTCTGCACAGGCTGCTCTAACCACGCACCCCCCCCCAGGTTAGCTGTCCCCCGTCCGTTGTCCTGAACCCTGGATAACTCCCCCAGTCAGGGGTGGGGGGGGACACAGCCTCCTGCCGCCTCCGCGGTATGTGTCTGTCTCCTCCATCGGGCTGGGGGAGCTTTGGCTTATTTATTCTCATGCCCAGTAGGTGTCTGTCATGTACAGGTGCCTAATGAATGCTTATTGAGTAAATAAAATCAGCATATGTCCTGTGGCTTCTAGTTACAGTTCATTGCATCGAGTAGAGATGGTTTAAATAAGAGTTCAGAAAGTAGCACTTCTCAGGGCGCCTGGGTGGCTCAGTGGGTGGAGCACACGACTCTTGATCTCGGGGTCGTGAGTTCGAGCCCCATGCTGGGCATAGAGATTACCTAAATGTTTTTAAAAACACTCTTTCTTCTATACTTGGTGCTTGGTCTCTGGAATTTTTTTAATGTTTATTTATTTTTTAGAGAGAGTGCGAGCAGGGGAGGGGCAGAGAGAGGGGGAGACACAGAATTGAAGCAGGTTTTAGGTTCTGAACTGCTAGCACAGAGCCTGATGCAGGGCTTGAACTCAAGGACCTAGATCGAGATCATGACCTGAGCCGAAGTCAGATGCTTCACCAACTGAGTTCCCCAGGCGCCTCTGGAATCTTTTAAGGAATTTTATTTGAGTAAAGTAATAATGAACCTAATTTCAAATGTAGAAAAAGAAAAATACGTCCTGGGAAATGCCAGGGAATCAGTAGATTTTTATAGAATCAAGAAATAGAAAGAAACAGAGGCACCTGGCTGGTTCAGTTGGTTAAACTTCCGACTCTTGGTTTGGGCTCAGGTCATGATCTCACAGTTTGTGGGTTCGAGCCCTGCACTGGGCTCTGTGCTGACCACACAGAGCCTACTTGGGATTCTCTCTCTTCCCCTCTCCTGCCACTCCCTTTCTCTCAAAATAAATAAACTTAAAAAAAAAAAAGGAATAGGAACAGGGAACAAAGGAAAAATACAAATAGGATTTTCACACATATGCTGAGTGAGGCGAGGTGGAGAGGTGAAAAATGGAATGTAGAAAGTCTGGATAAAGCTTAAAACCCTTCTCTTCCACACTGCTGCCTCCTGCAGGCCCCTTTCCTGACTGCTGCACTTGGCCGTGGGGTCAGAGTCAGGCTCGGAGGGGTGGGGGGCCGATCTTGTGTCAGATGGAGACTCAGATCTCCTCGCCCTCGTTTTTTAGTCACATACCTCTCCTCGCCCAGCTGCCTCTGCCTCTGATTTCCTCGTGGGGGCCGTAGCCCCCGAGGGCCCCACAGGGGCTCTTTCCTTGGGTGGCTTCCACTCCTGAGCTCAGAGGAGTCAAGGTGACAGCCACCACCCCCTCCTCTGGAGCCCCTACACCCTGTCCATATCAGCATCTTGCCAGCCTGGGAAAGCAGTCACATCCAGGCTCAAGGAAACATCATTTTTGCTTCTGGACTTTAAAAAGATGTTAAACGGGAACATCTTTCTGGACTGGGCGTGAAGGGTGGCTGGGGATGCCGGGAAGCGGGGGGCGTTCTCTAAACGTGCAGACCTGAACGCAAAGTGCTAGGAAGGGAGGACCTCGTTCTTAACAGCCCCTTCCCTCCCTCCTTCTGTCACCCCTGAAGGCCGCCAGCTCACTGGAGCCGAGAGGGCCTCCACGGCCACTGCAGAGGAGACGGACATCGACGCGGTGGAGACCCCGCTCCAAGGGAATGACGTCCTGGAGTTCAGCCGAGGTGTGACCGACCTTGATGCCGTAGGGAAGGAAGGAGGCTCCCATGAAGACCCCAAGGTAGGCGGGACGTGACCCATCACACGGGCTGCACGCATGCGGCGTCCTGAGCAAAATGTGCTGTCCGAGTCTCCTCCTGTACGCGCTGGGTTGGCTTTCGTTTCCCCTGCGGGGCCCTGGCTTCTGCACATGGGCCCGGTGTGCCGGCGCTGGACGCCGCACCACCCTGCAGGGTCCCCTCGCCACCCTGGGTCCCCTTCTCCATGGCAGTTCTGCCTTCACTGGCACCACATCGCAGCCTGACACCCATGCAGAACGAATTTTCCTGCATCAGGACTGGTCCCCTGGGGCTTAGCTGCTGGCGCGGAGCTTGTCCGGGCTCCCCCTGCCTGCAGCCAGCACTCTGGGGCTTCCTGGTGCGGGTGCCGTGGAGGCTGGCAGTCGCCCTTTGGGGGTTGGAAATGGCGAGACTGCCTGGGGCTTCATGCACTCCAGCCTCACATCTTATGGCCGAGAAGGCAAGGCTCCCAAGGACATCCCGATAGAATCCAGACTGAGAGCGATGCCTGGAGAGCACATTCCAACCTGAAGACACAGCAGAGAACCCAGAAGGAGAAGGCTGAGAAAGGGGGGCTCCCCTTCGATTCCCGAGCCATGGCTGCCTTGCCTTCTGCTGAGCGTCGGCCTTTTCCGGCGCAGGCCGTGGGGCAGCTCATCAGGAGGGAGAAGCCCGTCTGGCCTGCAGGGTGGTCCGGTCCCAGGTCATCCACCTGACGTTTTCTTGGTGACATTTGTCCCCTGCTTGCGGCAAGAGCCGTCTGTGACCGGTGCCTTTCTCCTGCCTGTCTGCAGGGGGCCCACAGTTGGCAGTTAGCTGATTTATGGACCCTACAAGCCGCCTTAGCAACAGTTGCCACCTGGCCCGAGGGAGACGGCTGGGGCGGGGGCAGGGCACAGAGGCGTTGATCCTGCAGCCCCGGTGGCTGTCCCTCCCCTCGAGGCAGGGCCTGCTGGCCTAGCCTCCCTCACACAGCCTAGGGGCCCAGGGAGCAGCCCTGGAGGAGGGGACCCCCAGGGCCCAGTGGAGTGAAGGTGGAGCCGCCCCCTTCCGGTTCCATAGTGGGGTGGCGGGTGGCTAGAGATCGACCTCCCCGAGTCCGGGTGTGGTATCGTTGGATATGGTGCGAGAGGTGGGTGCCCCCCGACCTGCCTCCATCACGGGGCGGGGGGAGGTCAGTCACTGAGGGTCCAGGCAGGGTGGCCTGGTGCGTGGCCCCAGCTGCCACACCTCCTCCTCCCAGGCCCCTGTCCACTTGGCTACTAGGGGACACCGCATCTCACCCGGCCATGGCCACGCCCTCTGTGTCAGAGCGGCCACTGCCCTGCGCTCTCTTCTCTCTCCAGGCTTCCCCCCGCCCCCAGGAGCCCATGCTGGCAGCCTCGCCCAGGATGCTCCTCCCCTCCTGCTCCTCGAAGCCCCCGGGCCTGGGTCCGGGGACGCCACTGTCCACCCACCACCAGTTGCAGCTCCTCCAGCAGCTCCTCCAGCAGCAGCAGATGCAGACGCAAGTGGCCGCGGCCCAGGTCCTCCTCCGCCTCCACCCTCCCCGCCAGGCTCCACTCTCACGGGCTTGACGCGCCTCCCCCGGCCGAGGGGCAGGTTCCCAGCCCAGGGAGCCGGAAGGGGTCGCTCACGCTGCTGGGTCACTGCTTGTCGGGGAAGGGATGGGGGGGCGAGGGGGATGCAGTTGAACCAGGAGGAAACGGTTTGGTTTCCCGCGTACCCACCCCTGCTCTGAGTTGGGCTTGGCTGGCTTGGCTTGGACACTGTTGGATAAGGACTTGAACTCCTCGAGGAAAGAGATACACACAGATCCACCCTCCCTTTCCTGCCTGTCTTCCTGGTGTTTGGCGGGAAGGGACGCCTTTGGAGTCACGACAGCTGGGACTTTGCGAAACCAGTCTTAAAGGAGCTTCAAGTACGACTTTGTGCCAAACACCCTTGCAAAGTCCCCTCCCCCCCAGCATCCTAACTGCCTTGTCCATACAGGTCCCCACGTGCCCATCAGTGCCCTGCTTATACCGGGCAGGATTTGATCTTACACTGGCCTTGGAATTCGTTCCAATGGGATCTAATTTATGGGATCTCAGGTGTCATATTGGAGCCACTTGAGAATTGGCTTTGATCTCAGAAGCAAAGTGCTGTCTGAGCCCCAAAGGCTTGTCAGGCCGCGGCCTTGCAGAGGAGGCCCAAGCTGGTTTCCCTTGCGCTTTCTTCTGCTTGCTTTCCCCGGAGGGGATTATAATCCCCCTCTGGAGGGGGATTATAATCTGCATCTTCTCTGGGATTTGTGAGTCTGAGTGTCTGGGCAGTGAAGAAACAGTGAGGACAGGATCGCTCATGCCATTCATAGGCTGAATTCTGAGACTCAGGATGGGGCAGGATCTTGGGGGCGGGGGGGGGGGCGGGGGGCGGAGGGCGTGGATAAGGACAAGGAGGAGGGTGGGGCCTCCGGANGGGATTATAATCTGCATCTTCTCTGGGATTTGTGAGTCTGAGTGTCTGGGCAGTGAAGAAACAGTGAGGACAGGATCGCTCATGCCATTCATAGGGGGGGGGGGGGGGGGGGGGGGGGGGGGGGGGGGTGGGGGGGGGGGGGGGGGCGGGGGGCAGAGGGCGTGGATAAGGACAAGGAGGAGGGTGGGGCCTCCGGAGCTGGGGAGTGGGGAGTGGTCGGGCCGGGCAGCTCCGTGCGCTGCACTCTCCATCTGTGGGACCAGGCTGACCTCTGGGGGGTTCTGCGTTCTAGAATGGCAGGGAGCAGACTTCTCTGGGGAGCACTTACTGATCCCCGCTGTTTCTCCTGCTCACTCTTCTCACCTTGGGTGGAGGGGTCACCCCAGAGCGGTCCTTTCCCGTATGCACACCTTGAGAAAGCACCGGCTGCCTAACGGGAGTGGGATCCACGGCGACTTAGTTCTTGAAAAGACCTTCTTCTAGCACAGTCTGACGCGGGCGGGGCCTGAGACTCAAGCCTCTCGGAAGCCTTTTGCAGCCAAGTTGGAGAGAGTAGAATCAGAGGGCCACGGCTCCTAAATGATTGGAGCCTTTAAAGAAAATTCTGCCCGTGAAACAAAATGGTGTGTGCTAAGGGTAGGAGCATTCGCAGGTGTTTCCACAACAGCAAGAAAAGGAAGGAATGTCATTAATGGCTTCTTATACTTGGGAGGAGGGGAAGCGGGGGAGGAAATCATTGCTCTTTGTCAAATAGCAGAATTCATCTCAGCTCCTTAATGGCAGTCCCTAACGTTGTCACCACCACCCCCCACCCCCACCGTGTGACAGGATCACAAAGCCTCAGTGCTCCACCAGGGGCTATTCTACAACTCACATCATTTCTGGGAGTTTCCCCTTGAATACAAATCCATCCTCCAACCCATAATACTTTTCTCTTTCAGCATATCAATTGCCAAGTAATTATTATTTATCTAAGAAAGGGCTTGATGCATATTCATGATGGATATTATCAGCGAGTCATTTGAATCTGAAGTCACGGCTAAATGCTAAAGACACAAACGTCTAATCTACAGGACAAGAAGGTTGTGGTGGCGGCCTGGGGCAGCAGTGGGTCTGCAAAGCCACGGGACCTGTGACCGATCAGGGCTGTGCCACAGTCAGCCTGAAACCCTAACGGTTTTCTGGTACAAATCAGGCATCTGCCTCAATGGGGCAGCACTGCCCTGTTTTAATGGTCTCTGTCCTAAAGACAGTGGATCTCAGGGAAGGGAAGAGTGTGGTCCCTGAGGCTTACTTCATGCCACTCCCAGGGGCTGGGAGCCCTTAGCCTCTGACTCAGTCTGTGGATTGTGCCTCTCGGGTCCTTCCCACGGTGACGTGCGTGGCTGAACGGCAAGTACAGTGTGTCAGTCCTGGCGAGGCAACGGGCAGGGTCAGAGACTTGCAGAATCTCCAGCCGGACAGGGAACTCGAGGTTCTTGAACGAACATCTCTCCCCCTCTGCTGCCCGGGAACGCAGAAGAGGTGCGGTGTCGGCCCTGAGGCCTTTAGATCCCATGTCCTCCAGCCGCTCGGCCCTAAACCCTTCTTCTGTGACAAGTTCTTCTTTCTCCCATTCTAACAAGAATGGGCTTTGTATTAGTATCCGTGTCTTTGGGTAAAAACAAGTATATAGGAGACGGAGGTGGATTAATAGGTCTTCTGGACATCTTCCATGCATTTAAAACAGCATAGATGTAGTGTGCACGGTTTCTTTGGGTGGGGGTTGAGCTCACCGTGCTGAACTAGGTCAGCCTTTACTTGTCTTGCCTGATGCTGTCGCCAACAAGCTGCAAGCTTTCTGTCTTCTTCATTAAACTGCCAGCCGTCGGGGTGCCTGGGTGGCCCAGTCTCTTAAGCATCTGACTCTTGATTTCGGCTCAGGTCATGATCTTATGGTTCGTGAGTTCGAGCCCCGCATAGGGCTCTGTGCTGAAAGCATGGATTCTGCTTGGGATTCTCTTTCCTTCTCTCCCCTTCTCTCTGCCTCTGCCCCACTCTTGCCATCTCTCTCTCTCTCTCTCTCTCTCTCAAAATAAATAAACTTTAAAACATTAAAAAAAAAAAAAAGCCTGCCCACAGTCCCCAAAATTCCGGGGGGAGCAAGAATACCATGACCTCGGCACTTCAGGTAGGAACACGTTTTCCTTCTCTCTGGAAGCATCCAAGTCCTCCTCTGTGACTTCTGGATTGAGCTAAGGATACAGGCAGAGTCTCTTGCAAATAGGTAGCACCCTTGGGGTCCCTTGTGGCTTCCTGTATGCACCCACACACACAAATCCCCCCCCATGTACTCTCAGGGCTACTCCAGTCCTGCTGTTGTCTGGGGACCTGGCTTAGACTCCTTAACAGTATTCTGATTGGGTCCAAGACCTCAAGATCTCTCCCAGCCTCTCCCTAAACTGGTTCCGAGCCGCTCTAGAGGAGCCTGCCCTGGCCTTCGAAGTACAGGGGCAAAGGTCATGTTCAACTAGCTCTTACGCACTTCTAGCTTAGACTTTAGCGTGTAAATACTCAAGCCCCACTGACCGTTCTCCCGGCCCAGCTTGACGCTTGCCTGGCTGCACTAGCTTCCTGTTTTTAGTTGGGCCCAAAGTTCAAGGGCATGACTGAGAGTAGAGCCAAGCCCCACAGCAGAGCTGGGATGTCGCTGGCACCTGCATGGCCATGAGCTGGGCCCCTAGAGCTCCAGAACTGGCCGGGGCACAGCTGCTGACTGGCAAGAGTTAAGTGGGCCGGATTCCTGCACTGTTGCTATTTAAAGATCTCTCCTTAACCCCCCCCCCCCCCCCCCCCCCCCCCCCCCCCCCCCCCCCCCCCCCCACTCGTGCTTCTTCTGAAACCCGTGATTGGTTACTTCCGCTTCGCGAGCGATCGCGTGCGCTGTAGATGGAGGAACGGCACCGAGAACACGCCACACCCCGCCTCCGGGCCCTAGACCTCGCTTTTTGTCGTTGTGGCTTCTACCCGTCCCCAGCACCCCCGGCGCACCCCCAGCCCCTGCCTCATGCATGCTGAGACCGCGCCGCCTGCCTCCGCTGGTGCGTCCGGTGGGGGGCGCGGCGGGGGGAGGGCAAATCGCTGTGGTTCTCTCCACGCCACTTCCATGTGCCTGCTCCCCAACTTCAGCCTGGCCCTGCCCCCACTTCTCGCGGAGGAGCTGGAGTCCAGGCAAGTAGGCCGGAGAGCGAGTGGGCAGGGGTCCGGCGTCGCTGGGCGGGCCGAGGGTGGGTGTCACAGCCGGAGGGTGCAGGGTTCAACTCCCGCTCGGGGCGCTGTGGCGGGAACGCGGAGCGGGGCGCTGCACCCCCGCCGGGACCTTCCCACGGACTCCGTCCGCGCAGTGGGATCGTCGTTTGCCAAAGACCCCGTGGGCCTTGGAAAGGAGAGGCTCGCCCTTCCCTTTTCAGAAATTAATACGGCCTACTTTTGCGAAAGGTGTTGAATTCTTGGAAAGAAGAGCATGCGGAATACAAAGGACTGTCCCATCTGGGGGGCGGCGGGGGCCGTACTGGCGCTGGGTTCAAGGTGCAGGAAGCCAGCACAGGCCTAGAGCAGAGCGAGCTGAGGCTGAAAATAGTGCCGCCCCCTCTCTTTGCTTCGAGGCCAGACCTACATGCGAAAATTCAGAGACTATTAACTGGCTTCCAATTTAAAAGAAGTCCCAGATGCTTCGTCCCAGCCTGGCCTGGTTTGGGCTCTGCGGTGGCTCGGACTGCCAGGATCCGAGGTTTGAGCCTTGTGCCCGATGCCACTTCTGATCGCTGCAGAAGGGCTCGGCTGTGCTGGCTTTAGGGACTGGTGTGTGCTTTCACATTCCTGGGCTTTGAAAACACCGTAAATGTTCTAACTCTGCAATTGCAAAGCTAAAATTCTTATTTAATCTTTACGAGGGGCACTCAGACTCAGGAGCATTTGATTCAAGGGCCTTTTTACGTATTGGTGGCCCTCCACCAGAACTGGGTTACCTACAGAAAGATGCTTCCAGCATCCACTTACCCCCCCTCCCCCCGCTTCTGCAGGAGGAGACTCCTCTTTTGTTCCCAGTCCTCATTCTCTGATGTCAGAAGGGGAATCAAGGGATTTTCTCCAGGGAGCCTTTGACAAAGGGCCCCCCAGCGCTGACTGCCATGTTCACTGGGCAGCGGGATCCGGGGTTGCCTGAGCCTCTGGCCAGCCCCCCGGGGGAGAGCTGGAGAAAGTGAGGTCCAGGTGGATGTGAACTACCTACAATTGCATAGGGAGTCACCCTCACACTAGAGCTTTCCAGCTCCCGTCCAGTGCTCTCAGGTGGCCTGTCATGTTGAGATGCGAGTTCCCAAGTCCGTGGTGGGTGTGCAGGGAGCCCTCTGCAGGCGCCAGTTAGCAGCATCTTGACTTCTTAGCTTTTTCTGTTTCTATGCATTGAAAACTTTAGTCCGCATTTCTGCCTAATGTTTCTGTGTCACTCCAGGGGAAATAGAAATTGGGTAATTAACAATCCCGCCTGCTCAGTAGATTCCTTTCAATGATACTCAGGACGGGAAGAAGTTACGTTACTCACAGATGGGAAGTTAAGCTCGGCCCTTTTTCAGGAGGAGCTTCTGGAGGCTTCCAAGAGCAGCTGTCCTGTCTCAGCAAGATCTGGGGGGCTCTCCAGGGAGGCACCTCTTCTCAGTTTCCAAAAAAAATAAAGGCTTAACAGCCACCCACCACCTGATATCCAGCTTAAAATATTATTGCCACTTCTTTCCCTGTTTTCCTTGCTCTCTAGATCTTTCCTTAGTTTCCCTGAGGCAGCAAATGAGGCTGATTTCTAAACCAAACTGTCCCGTCTGCCCTTAGCAGCACCTCATGGAGGACAGATTTACTTTAGACTCCTTACACATCCTCCCCTGGGGCAAGACAGGCCCAGCCTCTGGAGCCACTAATGGAAAGTGGCAACTAATCTCATTAGTGGCTCCCACTTAGCAGCAGAGCCAACTGCAAGGTCAGGTCCTCAGACCCGCCAGGAAGGAAGGAAGGAGCTGCTGAATCCAAGAGTGGGATTCTCCAAGTGCCGGTGGCTGGAAGGAGCAGACGCCAGGCGCGGCAGGTCGCGTGGTCCGACTTGGACAGACTGTGGGGCGGATACGGTCCTTTGCTCTCCGATAAAACGTGCAACCCTTTGGAGCAAACTGCTCTTCGGAAAGCCGAGCCTTTGTTGTCTGAGAGGCGAGTCGCTAGCTCTTCTGACCCCTCTCCCACCTTCACCTCACACCCCCAGTCCACCTGCCTCAGTCTGTCCACTTTATCCACACTGCATCTTTTTTTTAGTCCAAGAAAACCCTCTTTCCCACAAGCTGCCTTGGTGCAGGCCCAATGCACGAGCTCCCTTTCTTCAGGGACCTTCTGAAACCCTCCGCGGAGGCGCCTTTATCCACCGCTTGGTACGGAATCACAAATGTGTGAATGTTGTTGTTGGCTTGTGACTCAGTTTCTCCAAGCTGGGGTCCTATTACGATCGCTCCACATCTTGCCCTGGGTCTTGTCCCCCTACCTGGTTACACACCAAGAACAGACCCTACGGGGCCCTGAGCACGCTGCACGTGCCCTCACCGGCCGCTCCACTGTGTGAGGAAGAGCGGGTGAGGGTCCTCTGTCTCCCGCAGCGGGCAGCTCTGTAAACCGTTCACCTCCACCCTGCTGGGCTTGTGGGAGGAGGCCCGGCTGTGAATCAGTCAGCAGGCGTGTGACCCCTACCAGGTTATAGCACAGTCCAAGGTGCCATGAGAAACAAAAAGGAAACAGACGGTCAGGGAGAGAAGCCGGCACCCACCGATGACAAAGGACAGACTTTCTCGTGACCGCCTCACGAATGAGGGGCCTCTGTAGGACTTCCTGTTTCCCATCACGTGTGGAAGGGGAGAGGAGAGACTGAGTAGGGGTTTGCTGTGACACCGTTCTTAGCTGTTGGCTCAGCGAGTGTATCAGTTTGTTTTCCTTTTTTAAAAGACATGGGAAGCAAGAGGCACCTCCCTCCACGTGGCGGTAATATGTTAGTTGTCACAGCAGACAGGGCACAGACCGCAGGGGCTGGGGCTTGCCTCTGGCCCGCCTCTTGCTGCCGGGCCCTGAGTGGTACGTGAGTGGTACCGAGTGATCACCCGGGAGATGCAGAGGGACGCACAGGGCCAGTGACCCTGCTTCCTTGGGCTGCATCTCCGAATGACGAGCCCAGGTCCCCGTGTGTCCCCGGAAGGGCTTCTCCCTCTTGAACGGAACAGGGCAGGTGTCCCCCGGTGACTCTTGTTTGCATTCACGTCCCCGTCTCCTCTCTGTCCCGTCCTCTCCACCTCCTCTCCCCCCCCCCACCCCCCTGCAGGTTCACTTGCTGAAGGACCAGCTCGCTGCCGAAGCCGCCGCGCGGCTGGAGGCCCAGGCTCGCGTGCACCAGCTCCTGCTCCAGAACAAGGACATGCTCCAGCACATCTCGCTGCTCGTCAAGCAGGTGCAGGAGCTGGAGCTGAAGCTCTCGGGACAGAACGCCAGTAAGTGAGGGCCCCGCCCAGCCCCCCCCCCCCCCCCCCCCCCCCCCCCCCCCCCCCCCCCCCCCCCCGCGGAGGCGCTGGGAAACCCACGCGCTGGTCTCGGAAGCCCTTGGGGGTGTTTGGCTCCCCCCTGCCCTGCCCTGGCGTTCCAGCAGGAAACGCATGGCGGCTCTGCCTGGCCCGTCCGCACGTTTCGTGGGATGACAAAATGGCAGGGCTGGAGAGGGTCTGGGCCCCTTCTCGTCCAGCATCCACACTTGACCTCAGATGTCCCCGGGAGTCACTGCCGCGCGTGCCCCCAGGCTCCCCTCCTCCAAAGGGGCTCGGGCGCTCCTCGTCCTCAGGCGGTCAGTTTCAGTGTACTTCCGTTGAAATCTCCTGAGCACCTCTCGTGTGTCGCGCTGTCTGGGAGCTCTGGGGAGGACCCCACCCTGCACGGGGCTTTCCTCGCCCTGCACTGTACCTCTCACACCTCCGCAGCACAGAGCACGCTGGTAGCAGTTGTCTACTTAGTGGCTAAGGCAGAAGAGAACAGGCCCGATGGCGTTGCTGGCTAGTGGCAGAGTTGCCCAGCCTGAGAAGCCCAGCCGCCTTCGGGCTGGACTGGGAGCTTCTAGAAGGCAGCCCACATCTCCAGGCCTTCCCTCTTGCTTGTCGGCGGCCTGAAGCAGTCTCTAAATGTGGGTAGGCTGCGGGCCGCCATATATGCACTGGTCATCCTTTGTGCCAGAATTTCAGACACGTGATCTCCGATAATCCTGCAGTGGTAGGTGTTGTGGCACCCATTTTACAGATGAGACAGACTCCAGCGGGTTAGGTGGCTGGCTCAGCGATACAGGACCAGGAAGGTTGGCGCCAGGACTCCAGCCCGGGTGTGCTGGCCAAACTGGTGCCCTTCCTATTTGCCCAGCGGTTCCCCTAGCCTGTCCCACAGCTTTTTTTTAAAAAAAAAAAGGAGCATTCCCAAGTCCAGCCCATGATCACGATCAGTAGGTGGGAGCAGGCCTGGGGCCCTTGTTAAAGCAGCCCCAAGGTCTAGTTTGGGACCCGCTGCAGGTCCCGCCCTGGAAGTCTGGCCCTCTTGGTCTGTACCTTGTTCAGGGTCCCACCCTCGTGACCCGTGCCCTCCCCTGCAGCCGGACCCCAGCCCGCAGGCTGCCTCGCTGATGGGCCCTCCTGTGCTCTCCCCCCCGCAGTGGGCTCCCAGGACAGCTTGCTGGAGATCACCTTCCGCTCCGGAGGCCTGCCGGTGCTCTGCGACCCCACCACCCCGCAGCCGGAGGACCTGCCCTCGCCGCCCCCGGGCACGGGCCTGGCCGAGCTGGCGCACCCCGCCGGCAGCCCCCTAGGTAGGCGCGACCGCCTGGTGAAGCTGGAGTGCTTCCGCTTCCTGCCGCCGCCCGCGGGCCCGCTGCTGGGCGGCCTGGAGCTCCTCCGGTTCCGCGAGTCGGGCATCGCCTCGGAGTACGAGTCCAACACGGATGAGAGCGAGGAGCGCGACTCGTGGTCCCAGGAGGAGCTGCCGCGCCTGCTGAACGTCCTGCAGAGGCAGGAGCTGGGCGACAGCCTGGACGATGAGATCGCCGTGTAGGGCGGGCGGGGACGGGCCGGGGGCGCCGGGGCTGGGCCACCGCCGAGGATGCCCGCGCGGCGGAGGGCGGTGAGGACCCTGGTGACGGCGACTTTGGCTCCGGCCGGGGGAGGCCCCCCCCCCCCCCACTCCAGAGAGCCTGCGTTTCAGGAAAGGATTAGAGTTTTGCTTTGGAAGGGGAAACGGGGGAGCACTGGGACTCCCAGAGGTCAGTCGGCCCCTCTCTCCTATTTGTGACTTGGGGGGGAAGGGGGTGCAGGGCCTCCCAGAGCCCGTGGCTTTGGAAGAAGGTCCCTGGTGAGGGCCGCCAGGCTGCGGAAGGACCTGTTACGGGCCGGCTGCCATATCAGGCTCCTCTGCCCTGTGATGCCCGGGCAACCCCTCCTGCCCCACCTCAAGGGCGGACTGTGAAGGGGAGCCGTCAGGTACTGGGCGTCGGGGGATCCAGGACGCTACTCATTGCCCAACCCCCACCTCCACCCAGACCTTACGGGCCGGATGCCTTCTCCAGGCCCTTGTGGAGAGAACAGAGGCTGAACGCTCTGGGCTGTAAATGACAGTGTTTTCAGCGCCAGCAGGGTGTGGGGATGTGTCACCTCGGGGAAGCTTCTGGAGGAATTGAATCTGGACGTCTTCTCCAGCTAGATGTCCGGTGTTGCTTCAGAGGCAGATTGAGAGTGTAACATCGGTCCCGCCGGGGCTGTGAAAGGCCCTCGGGAAGGGCGGCCTGTCTGCCGCCGCGGGTGGCTTAGGTCTGATACCAGCGCGTGGAAGTCCTGTCCCCGTCCTGCAAGCCCAGCTCGCCCTCCCCTCCTCTGCATCCTGCCTTGGCGCCCTCACCCCTGAGAAAGCCTCAGAGACCCAGAGTCCCTCCCACCCCCCAGTCTTACCTCTCAACCCGTCCCCTCCACTGGGCGGTAGTGGTCCGTTTTCACTGCAAACACATACAGGTGGGTAGCTGAGACTGTTTATTTCCCTCTCTTCAGAATCACTGCCACTTCGGTCAGGGACCGCAGCCATGCCACCCTTGAGCCGTCCCTGTGGGTGCGTGCCTCGAGCACACCGCGCAATTCTCCGGTCCCGGGCCGTCTCCACCTCGTTTAGAGGTTACCACCCGGCCCCGCAGGCTGGGGGGACAGGAAGGACAAGTTCCTTAGGTTACAATTAGACCTTAGCTCTGTTAACAGATTTAAAGATGCCTAAAGGGCGAGAGCCTAGCCGTGCTAGTGTTAACGTGTTTGGGGACATAAGTCTTCATCGAGGACGCTGAGCTGCGGCCCCAGCCTTTGAGGGTTAGCTGGTAAGGACGTGGTTTTCCAAAACAGAGCGCTTCAGCCCTGACTCTGCTTTACAGTTTTTATAAATGAAAGCGTAACCCTTCTCTTAAGCAGCTGCATTTCCTCGAGCTAGAAAGTCCAAATGAAATAAGTGCAGCTTTACCTTCGCCTTTCTTGGCACGCCAGGGTATCCACAGAAACAGGATGGATGTGTATGTATGTGCGTGCGTGCGTGTGCGCGCGCGCGAGTGTGTGTGTGCAGACTCGCGTGTATGCCCAGGTGAGGGAAGGTGTGTACGTGTGTGCGGGTTTGTGAGATGTGGCCAGAGATGAGAGACTGGGAATCTTCAGGGTCTTTGAACGGCAGTGGAATTATGTTCTTTTCCTAATGTGTGTTTAGTTGGAGAGGGGTAGTTCTGTTTGTTTTAGCGTATTTCCTAATTAACCCCTGGATGGAAGCAGGTCCAGATACACGAGGAAAGAAAGAACCAGGAAGGTAAGACCCACAGCCTGAAGGAGCGATGTCGTCAGTCCGGTGTGGCCGAGCCTGGCCAGCGCCCCAGATCCCCCGGGCGGGACCTCTCAGAGCGTGGGAAGTTTGAGCATTCCAGAGAGCGAAAGAAAGGTCTGGCTTCTTGAGGCTTCTGCTGCTGCGTGTCAGCAGGAGCGGAGGGTGACGCCAGGGCCAGAGAGGATCGGGTTTGTGGAAGGTGGCTGGAGAGGGGGTGAGGAGTGGGTGGGGAATAGTGCCTGAAAGCCTGCAAAGCGAAAGAAGAACGGAAACTTAGGAGAGATGAAAGAATTGGAGAGACTTGTTTTCTGTACTACTGACTCAGGACCCATTCGGGACCCTTGCCCTTGGGGGCTCCGCACTGGTCCCGCCTGCCTCAGCCGCAGCCTTCCCCCCGATGGGGCCTTTGCTGGAGACTGGTTTGTGTGTCGGCCTCTTCCCCGGTGTGACCCCACAGCCCACAGCAGGGCCACACCGGGCGTGTGGAGGTGAGAGGACGGATCTAGGGACCCTGGCGATTCACCAGCCACCGGGCAGGAAAGAGAACATCGCAGATCTGATCTCCCAGCGATGTCACCCTCTCCTTCTCCCTCCTTGCTTCTCCCTCTGCTCACTGAACTCTTGCACTCCTCTCTTTCATCCTTCCTCTGTCCACAGAGGACAAGTGGACACCAGGGGGGCCCTCCTTACTGGCGCCTGCCTCAGTCTACCCCCAGGTGCCGGCCGACTTCCGGGCACGCGAGGCCATCACAGTTGCAGAGCCAGCAAAGAATTTCTCTGCACAGGATGGACCGTATATTGCGATGGAAATGATACTCCTTATATCCCCGCTTATATCAACGCTCCCTGTGAAGCCCCCTCCGTAGCCTTCCCTCCCCCGATGGCTCCTGTTTCGGGCTTGTGTTCCTTTTATTTCCTCTTTGCCTGACTGCCTCCTCTCGCCCCTCCAACGCTGAGCCCTCTACTTCCTGCAACTGTTGTGTCATTAACTCTGTTGGTTCAACTCTCTGGGAAAAGCTTCTGTTCATGTAAGTGCACTTAACTCCCTGGATGTTGTCACTAGTCTAGTGGCTTTTGCTAAATAAACCTTTCTGATTTCTAAATGCTTTTCATGGTCTTTTCTTGCTTCTTCTATCTCACCTGCTGCCTGACCTCCCCTCCCTCCCACCTCCTCCTCCGAGCCAGCGGCCATCAGCTCTGCGACACACGGTTCTCTCGAGGGTTCTGGTGTTCAGAAAACAAAGAGGGGAGGGAAGTGGCGCCCTGGCTGCCATTGCATAGACCAGCCTTTGCGGGATCAGGCTCTACGGCGGTTCTGATCTGAGGATGATTTTGCTTCCCCAGGGGACACTTGACAGTGTCTGGAGACACCTTTGGTTGTCACCACTGGGGGGAAGGATGCTTTTGACGTTTAGTGGGCAGAAGCCAGAGACAACTTGCTAAACATCCTACGATGCACAGGTCAGCCCTGCCCCCTCCCCGCCCTGCAAGAGCGAGAGAAGCGTCCAGCCCCAGATGTCAGTAGTGCTGAGGCTGAGAGACCCTGGGCTTGTGCCCGTTTTCTAAATTTTTTCAGAATGTCCCAAACCCGGGGTCTTTTTAAACTCCAGGCATCATTGACATATAAGCAAGTATTATTAAGTGCTTGAAAAAGCACGACCCCATAGATGTTTTCAGATATGACTCAGATCATCGAGATTATAAAATTTCATTGACCCCTCGGCTACACGTCTGAAATGTGTACTAGGTAGGGTTCTGAATGGGCCCATTCCCAAGACGTCATGGGATCTTGAAAAGCCGACATCATGGAAACCAGCTCACTTTGGCCAGGACGTTGAGCCCTTTTGAAGGCAGAGGGTTTGTTGAGCCAGCTGCTCGGTCAGGCCCAGCTCTGCGGGAAAGTTGAGAGTCTGGCTGAGCGAGTGGAACTGAGCCTCATTTTCTCATCCGTAAAATGGGGATAGAATATGCCAAGCAAAGCGATAAGAGTAAATGAGATTGCATCTAAAGGCCCCTGGGGATGGCTCAGGGCTCCCCAGCACTTGCCTTCTGATTGACCACGGGAGAGGGGAGGTTGGACGCATGTGGTCAGTGTAGTTGTGTCCCGGGTGTGTTTTCTGTGTGCTGAAGCTTTACTCAGAACTCTGCCCTGCGAAGGCTACTCGGGGTCACAGCGATGCCGTTAAAGGTGAAAGGCAGAGAGCACCTGTCTTCACGCTAAACTCAAGCACCTGCCAAGACAGCAGGTGGCATGAGCCGTGGCCCTGAGCTCAGCCCGAGGTGCCTGTGACACAGATGCAGGGTGGGCAGAGGGTGTGCGGCCAGATGAGAGAGATTCCCCTCCTGATTGTCGCACAGACCAAGGCCCCCGGGTGGGCCTCTCCCTGTACTCCCTTAAGAGCCCCATCCAGGGGACACACGTGCACAGTGACACACGTCAGGGGAGGTCTTCAAGGGCTTGGGTGGCTTTTCCTTCAAGGAAACAGGAAGTCAGAGTGAGGACTCCTTTGGTGCCTCCCCTGGGGGGGTCCAGCGAGTGATGTCAGGGCTGCCCAGAGAGACCACCCACCCCAGAGTGGACAGGCTGGGACCCTGGAGCCCACAGTTCAAGTACACCCTTAGACTCTGGCTGGGTTGGTAGAGGGTGGGGGGTGGGGAGAGCGGGTGAGGAATGTTCTCACGGTGTGGGACATGATGGGATTTGAGCCCAGCGTCTCACAAAAGAACCACAAGTGATACTTTAGCAGGACAGGGATAAGCAGAGACAGCTCTCCTGAACCAGAAAGTGAGGCTCTGGGAAAACTTGCTACGTGATCACTGGAAGGGCAAGGGGAGAGCCTCTAGCCCAAACTGTCAGTACGCAGGGGGGCATGTGTCCCCCCCCCCACCATGTTCCACCCCTCAGGAGCTCGAATGCCTGAGAAGCTTTCAGACTGTGCAGAAGTCCTGCTGGGGAAGCTTTCCTGTGCCAACAGGAAAGGTGTGAGCCCTCTTGCCGGGTTGGGCAGGGACTGACGCGGGTTGGGGGGGGGATGGTCAATGCGGAGGCCAGGGTCTGAGGGCAGTGCTCTCATACCCCAGCCGCACCCCAATCCCCTGGAGGTCTGGTCGGAGCTCGGGTGGCTGGGCTAACCCCCAGAGTTTCTGACTGAGTGAACCTGAGACGGGTCTGAGATTTCAGTTCTGGCACATTCCCTGGGGATGCTGACACTGCGGATCAGGGCAGCTCGCGTTGAAAACAACCACTGTGGAGGCTCTTCCCAAACTTGAGGGGGAGAGGGGAAAGGGAGGGGGGTCGATGAGGGACGGGGGGGGGGGGGAGGGCGTGGTGTTGCTAGGCAACCGTTGGCCAAAGGGAAAAAGGGCCGGGGCCGCTGGGAAGGACAGCAGGTGGACCGGGCGACCTCAGACTGGACGGAAGGCTGTGACTGACGTCGGTTTATTGACATCCCTGGAGGCGTAAACAGGACACCGAGAGGTGTCCGCTCTCGGCCCAGCCGCCACCCCGCGGGCCTACTTGAAGGCCTGGCAGCTGCCGGAGGCCAGCCTGTCCCCCAGCCGCGCCTTCTCCTTGCCCCAGAGGGCCTTGAGCTTGCGGTAGTACACCTTGCAGCTGAAGCCCTCCCGGAAGCCCCCCTGGATGTGGCTCTTGAGGGAGTGCAGCGTAGGGTACATGCGGCAGCAGGCGGCGCACTTGTAGCCGCTCTGCTGGGCGGGGCGCCACCTGGAGGCCGCCAGGATGTCCTGGGACGTGATGGAGTCCGCGGAGTCGCGCCCCGGGTTCTTGGCGGCCCCCCGGGGGCAGGGGTCCTCCGGGGAGGAAGAGGAGGAGCAGACGCTCTCAGCCAGCCCCTCGGGCAGCCGGCCGTCCCCCCTGCCCTCGTCCTGGGTCGCGTCGGGGAAGCCGCAGGCCTCCGGGCGGCCCTCCTGGTCCGTGCAGACGAAGTAGCTGTACGGGGAGAACCAGGGCCGGTAGATGGTGCAGCTCCGCCGCGGCTCCCGCGTCTGCGGGTCCCCCAAAAGGCAGTCTGCGGAGGAAGACGAGGGTGGGTGTGAACGGGGGGCGGGGGGGCCACGGGAGAAGCAGACAGGCAGGAAGGCCGGGGTCGGGCGTCACCTCGGTTGCCTCTGCCCCACCTCGACTGCAGTTGTTGCTTTGAAGTTTGTTGATTTCTGAGAGTGAGCAGGGTCAAGTTGGGGGGGGGGGGGGGGGAGAGAATCCCAAGCAGGTTCTGCATGGTCAGCGCAGAGCCCGATGTGGGGCTCGAACTCACGAACAATGAGATCATGAACGGGGGGCGGGGGGGCCACGGGAGAAGCAGACAGGCAGGAAGGCCGGGGTCGGGCGTCACCTCGGTTGCCTCTGCCCCACCTCGACTGCAGTTGTTGCTTTGAAGTTTGTTGATTTCTGAGAGTGAGCAGGGTCAAGTTGGGGGGGGGGGGGCGGGGAGAGAATCCCAAGCAGGTTCTGCATGGTCAGCGCAGAGCCCGATGTGGGGCTCGAACTCACGAACAATGAGATCATGACCTCAGTGGAAACCAAGTGTGGGATGCCTAACCGACTGACTGAGCCCCCCAGGCGCCCCCCCAACTTCCGTTCTGAGAGCAGGTGGAAGCGTTGCGGGGCAGGGGGGGCATCGAAGGCCTTCCTAACACTCGCAGGAAAGACAGTGTGATCTCTGGGTGGGGGAGACTCCCCTTTCATTGACTAAGCCCTGGCATTTGCCCACTGCCTCCATCCCTGCAGAGCGCTTTCCTCGGACCCCTCTGAGGGGACGGGCGGGAGGCTCAGCGCACCGCCAGCTGTCTGGCGCCCACAGTCCCTTCCCCACCACCGGTGGTCACGGCCACTTCCCAGCCTCACCGGCTGTCTTCCCACCACAAGCCGCACAGGCGGAAACAGCCCCGCACTCTCTCAAGAGGAGGAGAAGTGGGAGCCGCTCCAGGCCTGTGGGGTGTCTGCCCCAGGAAGGGCCACGTAGGAGACCACAGGAGCAGAGGTATCCTTCCCGCAGGGAGCAGCCCTCGCCTCCCTCCAGCCTCCCTCGCACACCCGCCCGGGGCCGAGAAGGCCTCACCCGGAGAGAAAACCGTGTTGTGCACCCCATGCCGGAGAACGCTGCTGTAGCACTGGCGAGGCAGGACCTGAGCTGGGCTGGACACCTCGGTGGGTAGCACGGTCTTTGCAATGTCTGGGTTACAGAAGAAGCACTCTGGTGAGCTGAGCGAGGTTGGGAGTCCTCTTCTTGGTGACCCTCCCCCCGCCCCCACATACCTAGAGGCTCTACCTTGGGACTTTGTGACATTGCAAAACCGAAGAGAAGCCATGCTCTCTTGCATGCCCAGATAAGCAGAGCTATTCTGGGTGGCTTCCTGGGGAATTCTGAATGGGGCATTTTCGTTGAGATCTGGGAAGGATTCTCTCCAAAGGAGAATGTTAGAGGCCGACCAGATGACAGCTTTCTGCCTGGCCTGCCCTTGACCTTCCTGTAGCTCGCTCTGTGTGTGTGTGTGTGTGTGTGTGTGTGTGTGTGTGTGTGCATTCTGGCCTCTGGACTCGCTCCAGGATCGAGGGGAGGGAGTCTATTCATGGACCACACCTACCACGTAGGTTACGTGCCCCTCTGAGGATGAGAAGCCAGCTTCTCCCAGTGAAACCCCGCTCGCCCACTGCCCGGAAGCGCTCAGTGGACCCTGGATGGCTGCTAAGGCTTGATAAAAAGCCCACCTGCCTCAGATCCCAGAGCAGTATCTGTGCTCATTTTGGGAAACCAACGTATCGGGGTTACCATACAGGCACGTGGATACTTAGGGGACCTAGCTACTCCATGAGCAGCCCCCTCAAACTTAAATGCGCAAACTTCTCCTGGGATCACTCGGAGGTCTTGTTAAACTCGCAGGTTCTGACTCGGCAGACCTGGGGACAGCCTGAGACTCTGCATTTCTAACAAACTCCCAGATGATGCCAGTGTCGAGGCCCCACAGACCACACTGAATAGCGAGTCCTCAGAGCGTCCCCGTTTCTCCCTGGATGTCTTCCTCGGTGCCTGCCTCTTAGGTTCCTACTGATGGGCTGGGGAGTCTTCTCCAGTGGGTCAAAACAGTGCTAAACCTAGCACGCGCCCCACACAGACTGTCCCCTGAGATTCTAGAAGGAAAAAAAACTTGACAACAAACGTTCCCCCTTCCTTCCCTCGTGGGAAATGAATAAATAGCAGGAACTACTTACCATGAACACAGCATTTTGAAAAATCCCTTCCTCCCCATGTGTAAATTGCCTTTCTCACTAAACTGTAGTCCTGCAACGTGAGCTGGTCGAGGACTCAATTAAAAGCTTCCCCAAAAGCCACATTTTTGTGGCCCTAGTGGCACCAGAGTTTACCTGGCAGGCTGGTGGCACGTGAGGACATAATGTCCGGAAAAGTGCTCAGGACCGAGGAGGAGATTCGAGGTCCAGAAATGCTGAGGAGCGAGAAGTTCTCCATGTTCTGACTACCGGAGGGTGTGGAGATCACGCACCTGTTCCCAAGAGGCTGCTTGGGTTGTCTAGACGATAAGCATTCTGAGCGCAGTTGACATCACAAGGTCACCTGGTTCCGCTCCCCAGCTGAGATCTCTCTTCCAAAGATGGATGGAGTCCGTTATGTTTTGTAAAGATGTCTTTTTTAAAAATATTTCATTTATTTCTAGGCAAGAGAGAGAGACAGCGTGAGCAGGGGAGGGTCAGAGAGAGAGGGAGTCACAGAATCCGAAGCAGGCTCCAGGCTCTGAGCTAGCTGTCAGCACAGAGCCCGACATGGGACTCGAACCCACGAACCGCGAGATCATGACCTGAGCGAAAGTCAGACGCTTAACCAACTAAGCCACCCAGGCGCCCCTTTAAAGATGTCTTTTGACTTGTCATTGCTCCTTGGCAGGCCGGGATTGAGAATACGAGGTGGGGGGGGGGGTGTGGATTGGAGAAGGAAGCATATGGCAGAAATAAGATGGTGATATAATCTGTTGACACCCCCCCCACACTTTGATCTTTGGTGTCCTTTTTGTGTCATTGCTGTCCCCCCCCCCCAGCTCTGGGGACCTCTGTCCTCTCTGAATCACCTTCTTGCTCTCCTTCCCCTGCCTAACCTCTGCCGTCAGTTTTTGTTTCTGTTTTTGAGTTTGGTGTGTGAATTTTACATGTTCCTTGGACATCATTTCAAAGTTAGAAAAAGCTGCAAAGGTACCATTAGTACAAAGAGCATCCATGCGTTGTGTATCCAGATTTGCCTGTTGTTCATGTTTTACCGCCTCTGCTTTGTGAGTCCCCTCCCCCCCCACCCATGCTTTGTTTTCTGAGCTATTTGAAGGTAAGTTACAAGCATCCTGTCCCTTTGTGTGAAATACTTCAGTGTGTACTTCCTAAGAGCAGGGACCAGATAATGCTTTAAATGGTTGGTGCTATTTTTAGCCAACGGTTGGCTTACTCAACAGCATTATAAACGGTTTGCTGGTGAGACTGAACTCCAGAGCCACAAGATTTCCTCTAGTCCCTGCTCCCCTTCTCTCCCGCCACAACCTGGCGCTGGAGGGAGGTGGGGGAAGGGTTTTGCCGCATGGAAGGTGAGTTGAAAGTGCTCCATTCTAGATCATCACAACAGGTGCAGTCTAGGTCCGTCGGTGTATTCGATCTGAATGTGTGTGCTTGCGCTGCGTGGAAGGCTCTGGTCTGGCCTCTGAGTAGCAGCAGCCTCCCCTCGCGGCGCGTGGAGCAAGTGGGCATGAGAGTGAGCACCTGCGTTGGGAGCCCAGAGTTGTCGTTGTGCTGGTATTGAACCTTGCTCCCTCGGAGCCCGGTGTGGAGGCTTAGAATGAGTTGGGATGTAATCGGCGCCCCGGACTTCGGCAACTTTGAGTGTATTGGTGATTTGATTTGGCCCTTGGGGTGCAGAGAAAGATCACGAGAGTTGCATGCACGAGTCCTTACCCCATTCTGCCGTGAGCTCTCTGTGCCGTGTTAGGCACACCTCCCAGCCACCAGGTTTTCCCCTTGTGTTCATTTAGCCAGTTGGAATGGCTAAACATCTTCCTGGTCTAAAACCTGGTGGTGCGTGTGCAGAAATGGGAAAGCATAGTAATGATCGATGCACACAGGGGTCCAGAAGATTTTGAACTTCATCCTGCCAGCTGGGAACTTCCGATAGACTTCCTGAAAAGGGGGCTTCAAAATATCGGGGTACATCTGGGAGGCTATGTCCGCACTTGTCGGTAGAGTTTTTAAAAACAGGACTCTCTTGGTTCGGTTATTGAAAAGTTCACGGGAACCTGGTCACCCAGGGTTAGTTGTAATCCTCACAGCAGGGCCTCTGTCTTGCACGCTGTACCCTCTCAGTGTGTTGTTGCTGGTGGCCCCAGGCAGGAGGTGACACTCCCAAAGTGGTCGGTCACTACATAAAATGTGTCTCTCTCTTGTTTGTTTCCCACCTGCTTTCCGAGCCCCTTTCTCGGACAGGTAAGATACCATCTTTCTTATGGATGACCCACGTCATAGGTGTCTCCCTCTGCTTGGATGTGTGCATGTTGGGGGTGCCGTGGGGCGGGCCACCAGGTCGGAACCCTATCACCTTTCCACCATCACCATTAAGTTCTGAGCCACCAAGCCTCTGGTCCAAAGGAAGGGACAGAGCGTGGGGGGATCACCGGTCCCATTGGCAGGAAGGGGGCTCGTTGCACATCCCATCAGGTCTGGAAATTAAGGAAAACCCCAGCCAGAGTCCCACTTCAGAGAGAAGGGCAGTGGCTCCCAGACTGACCTTGAGAGGGCATCTCAAGTGGCTTTTGTAAATGGAAGAAAGCCAGGAGCAGTTTCTCTACAGTGTCCACCCAGAATGTGGTCGGTTTTTAAGTATTCCTATAAAAAGCCAGTCCAATGAAGCCAGCATCTTAAATGCCGACTCCTATGCCAGGTTCTATGCTGAGCATTGTAGGAAACAAAAATCCAGATGCTCCATCCCCTTGAGGAGCTGACCGTTTTATTATGGAGAGAGACAAGGTATGTTGGCCAGTAAGACTCAGAGCACCGTAGAGAGAGCCATGAGGGATTATCTTTGAAGAACATAAGAATTCAGTATATATATCATGAAGGGTAGAGAGCAAGAAGTGCAGAAAATCTAAAATGGTGCCTAATCCAGAAGCTATTTATGTTTTATTAGAATGTGTTTTTAAAAAGACGAGGAGTCACCATTTCCCAGCCACTTTAACAGGTACTTACACTTTCAGAAATGAGCATGTCTGCACTAAAAGTTCACTTTAAGCCAAGAAGGAAACCATCATGGAAATACCTGAGCCAGGAAGTGGTGAGGGGTCTGCCGTCCCCGGCGAACCTCTCTTGAACATTTGCCCTGGTTTCGTGGTGGCCCAAATATGTTCTGGTTTGGCGGAGAAATAGTGAAATGCTTTCATTTCCAAAGGCTCCTCTGAGTTCACAGATGTGAGTAAAGAAAAGTTAGAAGGACGTGGGATGTGATAGGCAAGTTATGCGAAAGTGGATGACGTGACAATATGGCTCTTTTAGGAGAGGAGTCAGGATAACCCTGCTGTGGGCTCGGCTGGAGCTCTTGCGAGTGTGAGGGGTGGACACCTGGAGCCCAGGCAGCCGCTGGATCGTCAGCTCTGTGCCCCGGGCCCCCGGGCTCTTCTCACCTAGCTCCCCAGCACAGCCCCTCAAGTGGTGCTTTCCCTGTGCGTGTGGTGGACACGCAGACCGAGGGGGGCGTTCGGGGTTTGTCTACATCGTCTACATCTCTGCTCTGGCTTCCTGTCCTGCCCAATGACCTTCAAAACAGGGCTTCACTAGGTAGTTGGTGCAGAAGGACTACATCTGTTGAAACCACAGGAAAGGAAGATGCCTCCCCTGGCCCAGGACTCGGCAGTGCAGGGCAGAGAGAGCTACTTTGTGCAAAGTTCAGCAGAAGAAAAAGCATTCCCCAACCTCAGTTACTCTCGGGAAGGCTCAACGTGAATAGGCACTTAGAGGTGTTGATGTAGAATGGAGTCTATGACTGCCTACAGCCTCTCCCTCCCCAGGACAGACAGACTATCTGGAGGAGTTGGTGAGGACAGAAACCTCACATGTGATCCCAAGACCCCAGAATGGATCTGACTCCCTTGAGGGATGAGTGGATTTCCAGGTCGGGGAGGATGCCTGTTGCCAGTGTACGGCGTACAGACCGTGTGGCTTAGAGCCCTGCACTCCATTCCTTCCAGCCACAAACTTTGGAGTTGAGATCTCGGCCTCCATGAGTCTCCATCTGCAAAATGCATTTGGCAGTTTAATTCAAGATAGTCATTGAGCACCTACTGTATACCAGACCGGGCTAGCCGTTAAAGATACACAGGTGAACGAGTCATGGCCTTTGCCCCGCAGATGTTCACAACCCAGTGAGGCTACATCCAACCCTCTGAGTTCATCTTTCAAACCAAAGGTCCCGGAGAGCAGGGCCTTCTGTGAGGTGCGTTCCGTGACCCCAGGCAGAGCGAGGTAGTGGAAAGGGTGAGAAAGCCGGAGCTCTAGTTCAGCCCCCCCCAGTAATCGGCCTGTGACCTCAGGCCTGGCAGGCACTTACTACTCTGAGCCCCACCTTGCTCATCCGTAAATAGAATTCCTACCACCACTTCACCAGGGTATCGAGAGGGTGCTCGTCAAGTTCACCCGGCTTCCTTGGCACCGAGTCCTTACGCACGTGGTGGGAGCCGGGCCGGAGTCCCCGCTTCGCATCCCAGCAGGCAGCTGCCTGTTCTCCCCTCAGGAGAAGGGAGGCCCGTTTCCCAGGAGAAAATGTGCTACGCAGGTGGCTTCCTCTTCGAGCCTGATCAGTGCCATGCCTCCCCCAGCTCTGTCCACGTGCTCTGTGCTCTTAGCTTGTGTCCACAGCAGCATACAAACACCTAGTTCCTCCCATCGTTTCGTCTTCCAGGGGCTCGGTGACCCCAAGGTAAGGGGTCAAGCCCTGAGTCAAGGAGGCAGGTTTTACAGATAAGTTCTGTTTAAGTTCTAAGTCTATGGCTAGAGCTTGCCACTCGTTAACGGGTGGGGCAGAACCCCCCCCCCCCACTTCTGGCGATTGATGGATTTTCCCAAGAAAAATCCATCAAGAAAACCAGATGGGGAGACTCAAGAGTGTCTGAGCTTGTCTCTTTCTTGAATGTTCCCAAAGCCTCGGGAAGGGACAGCTGCGGGCGTGGGATCAGGGAGCCGAGCAGAGTGACATGGCCCAGGGCCCCTTGCGACTCTGCTCACTGTTTCCATCTTCCCGTCTGTTTGCAGTGGACCACAGCATGTTCGAGAACTTGAACACGGCCCTTCCTCCGAAGCTGCAGCCCGGCTGCCCCCTCCCCCACCTGTCCAGGCTGGCGGCCCCCGGCCCGGGGTCTGCGGAGTCTGGGGGGCCGGGGCTCCGCGTGGGTAGCAGCCAGCACCTCAAGAACCTGGGCAGAGCTGTGGGGGCCAAAGTTAATGACTTCCTGCGGAGAAAGGAGTCCTCGAGCCTGGACGGTGCGGGCGCCATGGAGATCAACAGGACGGCGGGGGCGCGGCTGGACGGCGGGGCCGCAGAGGCCGACGGGTGAGCTCCTGTCTCTCGCAGAGCCCCGGGTGTCCAGGGGCCGCGAGCTTGTCACGTGGCGAACCGGCCGGGGCAATGCTCCTGTCCCTTGCAGCCACCTTCCGAAGGAGATCCCACGGTTTCCATTTTGCAGGTCACCGAGGTCAGAGAGGGGTAGTGCGAGGAGCTTAAGGTGACCAAGTTAGTGATGGGCGGAGCCGGATTCGAACCCAGGCAGTGCCTGCAGCTGCCCACGTGCATTCAGACACCTGGCCACACCTTAGAGCCCCAGCCCGGGCCGGTGGTAGTGGAGGAAAGTGGGCGTCTGTGGGACCCAGTGGGGCCGGGAGGGAGAAGCCTGTTGTGGCCTGCCTGCCCTTCTTGTGTCCTTACGGCCCTTCCAGGCCTTGATTGATTGATTGATTGATTTGTAATGTTTGTTTATTTTTGAGAGACAAAGCATGAGTGGGGGAGGGGCAGAGAGAGAGGAAGACACAGAATCCAAAACAGGCTCGAGGCTCTGAGTTGGCTGTCAGCACAGAGCCTAACGTGGGGCTCGAACCCACGAACCACGAGACCGTGACCTGAGCCGAAGTCGGATGCTTAACTGACCGAGTCCCCCAGGGCCCCCCAGGCCTTGTTTTAAACACCCGCTATGGTCCTGAGCCAGCAGGCCCTTCACAGGCTCTGACGTGACTCCGTTCACCCGTGGGCCCAGCGGCAACGCTCTGCTACTGTCAGCACCGAGCGGGGATGTGACGGCCGCCATGACCCACATACCACACCGGGGACGAGGCGTGTGCCGGGTGGGCGAGCCGCTGCGGTGGGTGTGGGGGGGGGGGGTGGTGCCGGGGTCTCGCCATCCTTCAAGCTCACGTGCGTGTCGCCTCAACCCCGCAGGCCGGCCCTGCAGGACGCAATCCCTCGGCTGGCCCCTCCGCCTCCCATTACCAGGAAGCGAACGCCTCGGGCCCTGAAGACCACGCAGGACATGCTGATCTCGTCGCAGCCCGTCCTGAGCAGTCTGGAGTACGGGACAGAGCCGCCCCCCGGGCAGCCCCAGGACCCCCTTCCCGCCGACCGGCCCGACGTCTCCATGGAAATGGCGGGTAGGGGCGAGGCTCTGCCCAACGGAGAGGTCTCCCTGTCGGTGCCTGACCTGATCCACCAGGACAGCCAGGACGAACCCAAACTGAAGATGACTGAGTGCAGACGGGCCTCCTCCCCCGGCCTCCTCGAGAGAAACGGCCTCAAGCTCAGCCTGAGCCCCGTGCGCCTGGCCGAGCCGCCGGACGACAGCGGCCCCCCTTCTCGGGCTCGGACCTCCAGCCTCGACAATGAGGGCCCGCACCCAGACCTGCTGTCCTTTGAGTAGGGTCCCTACTCCCTGCCAGGCTCCCCCTTCCCCTCTGCCACCTCCGTTCCTGGTGCCCCCTGGCCCTTGGCCCAGCTCCGCGTCCCCTTGGCCCCTTTGTGCAGAGATCAGCACTGATCCCCTCGCGTGGGGCGTGCGGGACCAGGCCCCTGAGTCGTCCTAGTTAAAGGCTCCGTCTGCCGGATGCTAAAGCGCCAGGCTGCCGCGTGGGGGGCCTGGGGCATCTCTGCTCCCGGGCAGCCGGGACTTCCCACTGGCCTGCAGGGCCAGCGGCCGGGATGAAGGATCGTGCAGGAATTCCCTGCACTCCCCCCCCGCCCCCCCATCCTCCCCCTCCGCGCCCTGGTTCGTTTCTTCCGCCTCTGGAGGGGGGCCTCTGGCCGAATGGGGAATGGATGGGTTTGGCTCCGATGGGCCCAGGCCTGGAACGCCACACACCTTACCCCTCCTGCACCCCTTTGGGTGCAGGCCAGAGGATGCACTTAACCAGGCCTGGGGCCTGGGCGCAGCCGTGTGGCCAGGGGTTCTCAGGGCGTTTTCCACCTGCCCAGTTGGGGAGCACGCCAGGCCCCCCGGGGCTGAGCGCTGAGGAGGTGCTGGGGAAGGTGATGTGACCGGCCACTCCCCGTGCACAGAGGGAAAGGCCGGGCCCCCTTGCCCTCTGTGAGGACAGGGCGCAGCAGGCCCCATCGGGGCAGATTAGCATCTTGCTTTGGGGGAGGGCCTGGGAACTCAGCCTCCAGAGAACCCAGAGCAGAAGTCACGGAGAAGTCAGGGTGAGGACAGAGCGGCTTTCCAGGGAGCACCCCGCACCCCGCAGCCGGAAGTGACACGGCTCTAGGCTCTGGGTGCCTGCGTGCAAGAGCCACGGTGATGAGGGAGACTGGGATGCAGGAGCCCGGCCAGCTGACCCTTCCGCCCTGCAGGGGCTGCTTGGTTCTGCCTGTTGCCTGGGTCTCCCTGCAGGGGCCTCCGCCTGCCTCCCCTTGTCCTGAGGCCACACAGTCCTCTGCGTCCCTGTCCCTGCCCCTGCCTTTGGGATCCCCGTGGGGCACTGACACACCCCCATGCGAAACATCCAAGCTAAGTCCTGTAGACCTGGGAGCCTGGTGGGGGGGGGGAGGGGGCCCTCCCCCCGCCCCCCTGCAGCGGCCACGGCCTTGCCACAGCCTTCCCACCCCACCTTCCGTTGCTCCGGACAGCGAGGCCTCACTGCGTGCTCACACGGAAGCCCGGTCTCCCCCACGAGGGGCTGCGTGTGCCGGGGCCCCCCCCGCGGGCCATGGTGCAGCGGGCAGTGACTGAAGGTCTAGACCCCGCCTTGACTCCAAGAACATCACGACCACGTGCTGCCGGACCCCGAGGCTCAGAAGTTCTCAGGACCAGCCTTTGGAAGCCTGTGAGTTTCCCCAGAATGGCTGGAGTTTTGCACAAGACACAGAGCGGAAACACGTGTGCAGGGAGCCTCTGACCGGAAGCTCGGTTTGAGGGAAACCTGCCAGCCCTTGTGCCCTGGGGCTCCTACCCTGGTGATGGGGGGTGGGGGGGGGCAGGTGATGGCAGCCGTGTGCGCAGAGAGGTTGCAGGCCCCGGGCTGGCTCAAGCCCCTTGCTCAGCACGCCACGGCCGGCCACTGCTGAGGTCCTGGCCCTCAGGTTCAGGGATAGCAGGGAGCCCTATCGGGTTGTCCCGGGCGTGGCCAGAATGACCGCGGAGCTCTCGAGGCTCCAGGCTGCAACCTCTCTATGATCTCTACCCTGGCCATCGTCCGGCCGAGGCAATGCCACCTGGGGTAGGGGGGCTTGAGCCTGAAACCCCACCCGAGATGCTGCAGACACCCCCCGGTGCTAGGGGCCAGGAGCCACCCCCAGACAGCAGCAGCGACCACTTCTAATCCTGCTGAGGGTCTTGGCGAAGACCGGTTCTCTGTTCAAAGCCCCACTTGGCTTCCCATGTCTGTCTCGACAGCCTGACCTTCCTGTGGTCACAGCGGGTCACCCAACCCCCCCTCACCTCCCCCCCACACACACACCCAGCTTCTCTGGGAGCTTGGCCCTTGGGTGGCCCAGTCTACACAAGGGCAGAAGAACAAGAGTGAAGGACTCACTTCTGTGTCTGCATAAGGAAGTTGGGGGCCCGGAGCCTTTTCTCTCCCCATTCCTCCCCCAGCCCCACTGTACCCCCATAGTCAGCACGTAGCTTTCCCCTGGCAAATCACAAGTGAGCTTCCAGAACCTGGCAGGTGGGTGGCACGTTCCCCGCACAGAGAGAAGCGTGTGTGTGTTCCGCGCGTGGACGGTCTGAAGACAGACACGCACAGCCTCCATCGACTTCAAGAACAAAGAGGTTGGCCCCACTCTGGGAGAGGAAGAAGATTGCAGATCTATTCTGAGTATTTTCTAGAGATTTTATATTTATATTTTTAGTAGTTTTCTGGTAGAAGGAAACTGCAGAAATAAAATGATCTGGTTTGGTTTTGCTGGTTTGGTTTGGTTTCTCTGGACTGATGGGAAGTGGTTGGTCTTCTGGAGGCTGACTTGTTGAGTGGAGAGCTTTGGCATTTAGGGTTATGAGCCTGCACTGGTGTGGGGGGAGGGGCGCTGCTGGCTGACCTCCCACCCAAGGCCCACGGGGACCCTCGTGTGCTCCCCTAACTGGCTAAGTCCCTCTTCCCACCTGACCTGTGGCTGTTTCAGGGGCTCCTGAAACAGCCTGTTTCAGGACACGCGCAGGCAAGCCCCCTCCTCGGGGAGGTCACGTGGACCCCGGATTGTCCTCTAGGCAAGGACTTGACCTGGGGTCTACGGCCCTCTTGCACTGGGGAGGGGACAGAGCTGTGTCTGCGCACACAGACCTTCTTCAGAGGGACCAGAGTCCCCATCAGCAAATGTCCGCAAACTTCCCGGAGCTGCGGACGGGGGCACTTGCCCACACTGGGGCGAGCTTGGCACTCGCTTGCTGAGAGAACACGGCTTGGAGAGGTGCAGCCTGCAGCCTTGCTCCCCCCCAGGCCGGTGTCGGGCCCAGGGACCCAGAGGACTCTCACAGCTGAGAGTCAGCCAGGCCTCTAACCACCTGAAAAGGGAGGAAGCGGAGAGTGGATGGAGGGGGGAGGAAAAGGCCTTCAGTCTGTACGCAGAAGCCAGACACATTTCTAAAGGGGCAAGGACGGGGCCTCCCTGCCCAGCTCTGTCCCTGGCGCCTGCGGCAAAGCCCGGCAGTTGGGTTCGACAGCACGTGGAGTCCCAGGCTCCGCATCAGAAATGTCTCGGGCAGGAGTCTCCAGCCTTTTCCACGCTGGATTCCACTCTTCCGTCTCTCGGGACGTGCAGAGAGACGGTGGGTGCTTTCAGGTTGCCCTCTCTGCACTGGGCACAGCGCCCTGTCCTTGGAAGGCAGGAGAAATGCAAAACCAATCCAACCCATTCCATGCCTGGCCGGGGGAGGGGGGGGGGGCAAAAAAAAAAAACAACGGAAACGCATTGAAAATACTTACAATAGCAACCTTTTCTTTAAGTGTAAGCTCCAATGACTATTCCTCAGGCAACTCTTCCCCTTGGGTGGCTCTGGGGTTGGCCTCAGCGGGCATTCAGGTGTGCGATGTGCTGCTGATACGCCCTTCTTTTCCACGGTTGTGCAGGGTAGTTATTTTTGGCAAAGATTAAATAGGAAAAACTGTTGCATAAAAAAACCCTTTTGAAACTTTTACGTGTAAAAACGGATGTGCACCTCTCACTCCGAAGGCAGTTCTCTAAGCTGAGCGGTGGGTGGTCTAGAGAGTGAGGTACAAGGATGCATTTGTTCAGACATAACCAAGTCCCCGCTTGAGTGGAGAGCTGTCTGGTGCACGGTGCTGATGTGGTGGAAAAGGGATGCCTGGTTTTCTCTCTCCGTTGGCAGTGGGTCACGGCATCATGGACCCGTCCCTCCTGTGATGCTAACAGGCTACATTAGCAGGGTATCAAAATACAACGGAAGCACCAAATGGGGGAAGTGGGGGCCAGGGGCCATTAACTTCACCTGGACCTGTTTTTCCTCCAAGCTTAATCTTACAATAATTGCTGAAGGCAACTCATAAATCAGAGGCCAGCAAGGAACCCACTTTGTTCCTGAAGCCTGTGCGTGTGCCTGTCGGGGAACCCAGGTTGGTTTTCAGAATTAATGGAATTACCTCATCAAGGACTGTGCCTCAGAGGCTGCTCCAAACTCCAAGAACCCCCTCTCGTTCAATTTGCTCCCGGGCTTTGGAATCCCTTTCGAGTCTGTGGATCCTGGGAGTGTTCTAGAACTCTCGGTGCTTTGACTCCCTGTCTCTACCACCACGGAGCATCCCAGCCTGGCCGGCCGAGGCTGCTGGTGACTCAGCGACGATTTATCTTTGAGCTCTGGGCCCTCAGCGTCCCCTGGGCTTCACTCAGCAAGCAGCATGTGGGATGCCCCCTGCAGAGCCCCCGCGGCAGCCTCCCTGTGAGTGGACACACAGAATTAAGTCCTCACAAAGAAATACGGCCTCGTAGATGAATCTCGCCCTCCCTGATGGTGACCTAAGTGCAGATGGCATTTCGTGGCTTTTCTCTCTCCCAAGGAAATCCACTCTGGAAACTTTAAGGGCAGTGAAAACATCTCCGCATATTTCACTCCCCCGGCCCACCCCCACCCCTGCTGCCGTTTGCACTGGGGGCCCCCCGTGAAAGCCCACGGTCCCCACCACTGACTTCCTGCTAATGAGAAAATTCCTTGGCACTGGTATCTAGGGCCCGTGCCTCCTCAGAGACAAATCCCCTTTGTGTCCAGCTTATCTCCAGCTGCTGCCATGATAAATGGTCCAGCTCAAGGGAGGCAGGGGAAAGCCTGTCCCACGAGACGAAGCCCCTGGCTGTAGACAGCACAGACAGGGAGGCGAGCTCCAGGAGACGTTTAAAGACCAACCCCAGGCTGTTTGCTCTGTCGTGGAAGGTGCCTAAGGAATCAGGCCATTAGGGTAGGAAACTGCCAGCATTTTCTCCTTGCAAGAGGCCAGAAAGGAGAACAAAACAAAAAGGGACCTCTCAGCAAATTGCAGCTTGTTTTTTTGGTGTTGGGTTTTTTGGGGGGTTTTTTCTGTTTTTTGTTTTTGTTTTATTTTGTTTTGTTTCACTAGTTAACCGCCTCGAAGCTCTCAGTTCCGTTTGCTACCTTCTTCCTCAAAGCACCACCTTACGCTTTTGGGGTTCCTATTATGTAACTCCTGTCTGGTGGGGAAGCCCACCTCATGGGCTAAGTCATGGCAACTTAGAAGATGTTCCCTGGGGCCGCCTGGGTGGCTCAGTCGGTTAAGCGTCCAACTTGGGCTCAGGTCATGGACTCTCAGTTCGCGGGTTCAAGCCCCGTGTCGGGCTCTGTGCTGACAGCTCGGAGCCTGGAGCCTGCTTCAGATTCTGTGTCTCCCTCTCTCTCTGCCCCTCCCCTGCTTGTGCTCTGTCTCTCTCAAAAAATTAAACATTGCAAAAAGAATGTTCCGTGTGGTTCCCTGGGAGGGCTAGGTTGGTCCAGGCCCCCCGTGAGGCCCGTGGAGGAGCAGCCTGGCCTTTAGGCATGGAGGAAGGTGAGCTCCATCATTCCTGTGACTGGCATGTGGCTTCAGCTGGTGTTTGAGCTCCCTCTTCCCCCTGAGCCCCCAGTGGACGGACCCAACTGCTCGATAGGAAAGCTCAGAAGGAGTCTGGACTACCCATCTTGTACTAGCTTCCCAGCATTCTCCGGGTTATCTGGCAAATTCTGTTTCTCTCAATCGTCCTTGCTCCGTTTTAAGTGCTGGGTCCTCTGTGTCAAGATCATCTTTGCAGCAGACCTGGTAAATTTTCTCTAGCCCCGGCCACTGTCTGCCACTTTCCAGGAGCTGGGTCTGCGGGACAGGGCGAGCGAGCCCGCAAGTGAGGAAAGCTGGAGGGTGAGGCCGCTGCTCGCGGCCCCCACCCCTGTCTCTCGCCAATACCTTGCTCATCACCTGCAGCGATGTGGGTACCGGCGGGCTCTCTAGATCACCCCCAGCCCCGCCCACCTGGCCAGCTTCCTCTCCGGCCACTGCCTCTGTGCGTCAAGCCCCAGTCCCCAACCCTCAGAATCGCTTCCACGGCTTTTGTGTCAGGGCCGTCTGTCTGCCTGGTCCCTCTGCCCGCCTTTCTCCTTCCTCTGACGTTGCTGGGCTGTCTTCTCACATTTTGGCTCAGGCATCCCTTCCTCCCGGAGTCCTTCCCAGCCGCCTCTGCCCGCCGTGCCATCCGTGCGGCCTTCATCCTGGCACTTGTCAGGTGACGTGGAACGGAGCCCCCGCCGGGTTTCCCGCAGGTCCCTGAGCCTGAGGGCGGGGGGCTCTAACCCCTCTAGCCCCTTGGTCCACAGCCCAGCCCCTGGCTCGTCTCAGGATCTTGCTAAAGACATGCTGCGAACTGAAGTCAGAGAACGTCTCATTTATTCCTGAAAATTTTAAATTTTTTAAAAATATTTTTCTAAAATATTTTCTAAAATATTTTCTAAAAAAATATTTCTAAGAGAGAGAGAGAGAGACAGCGTGAGCAGGGGAGGGTCAGAGAGAGAGGGAGTCACAGACTGAAACAGGCTCCAGGCTCTGAGCTGGCAGTCAGCACAGAGCCAGACGCGAGGCTCGAACCCACGAACCGCGAGATCATGACCTGAGCGAAAGTCGGACTAAGCCACCCAGGCGCCCCTATTCCTGAAAATTTTAATACATGCATCACCCACGCAGAATCAAGTGCTAAATAGTGTGAAACAGACTAGGCCAGGCTGCCCCTGGGGTGTGGGCAACACCAACACCACGACTTTCAGCCCCTTCCTCAGGATCCCCACCCCCACCCCCCGCAGCTTCTGCATCTGATCCCCGAATTCAGGGGACTGAGGGCGGCCACTCTCAAAGGGGAGAATGATTACTGGGCCAGGGCGTAGGCCATTGGTCTCCAGCCGCGGCCTCCATTCGTGCAGGCCCCTGGGTAGGTGCCACCTTGCCGCGGAGCAGAAGCCGCCGCGGCGTCCAGCCTGATGGAAGAAGGGTCACGCTTCAATGCCAGGCCCCCGCCCGGCTCCCCTGGTCGCTTCTCCCACCGCTGCATTCCATTCCAGGTCTCAGTGTTCCTGCTTTACCACTTCGGGCTTTGCTGTTGGTGCTTCATTATCACGTTCCTCAAGTTCCTGTGCGTTCCAGGAATTGTGCTACTCAGTTCACGTCCATCATCTCATTTGTGTTTCTCAAGAACCCTGTAAGGGGAGTCCAATAAAGCCCATTCCTCAGACACAGCTTCTTACTGCATTCGAAGAGAGTCACACACACGATCTCGTTAATCCTCACATCTTGTGGTGTAGTTATGGCAGCCCCATTCACAGATGGGTAAACTGAGGCTGGGGCAGCGACAGAGCCTGAGACTTGGAGCAGAAAATGGGCAGCGTGGGACCTGGTGGCCTGGGTCTGTAGAGCTGAGGAC